TGAGGAGTCCACCCCCTACTACGTCAGGTACCCCTGTCGAGGTCTCCCGGTTCCTCCTCCCCCTCTCTTCCTGACTTCCGCTCCCCCTCCTGCTCCCCCGGTACAGCCTCCCCCCCCTGGTCCAGCCCCGTCAGGTGTGTCCCACGCTACCCCTCCCCCCTCGGTAGCCCCTCAGGTGCAGCCTCCTTCCCCGCAGTCCTCCTCGCAGCTTGCTGCGACCCTGCGGGAGTCGGTGTTCGTGGCGCGGACCCTGTAGGTGCTTGCTCTCGAGGAGTTGGAGTTGGTGCTGAGAGCGTCCCTCTGCCGATTTCTGGTTCTGGGGGTGCTGGAGTTGGAGCTGAGCCCGTGGCTGCAGGAGACGCTCGTCTTCCAGGAGCTGGTGCTAATAGCGCTGACCCCGGGGGTGCTACGTCTGGGGGTGTGGGTGCGCCCCGTACGAGTTCTGCTGAGCTTGGCAGTGTTACTGTTGGTGGTACTGGCTCTAGGGGTGGTGTGCCGGGTGCTTTGGAGGGCGGTCCTGGAGCTGCAGCTGCCTCGGACACTACTCCTCCCCCCCACCCCTACCCGACCCGGTTCCAGGCTCGTGTTCGCCGTGCTCGTGAGGAACGGCTGGAGTTGGATAGAGAGGAGAGCGAGTTGCAGCGGCTGGAGGAGCAGGAGCGGCAGCAGCAGCAGCAGCAGCAGCCGCAGCCGCAGCCGCAGCAGCAGCAGCCGCAGCAGGAGCAGCAGCAGCAGCAGCAGCAGCAGCCGCCTCCTCCTCCTGTCTCGGGTCTTCGGACCCTCGATCTCCCCTCTCGCTCTCCTTCCTCCTCCCCCTCTCCTCCCGTCTCTGGTCCTCCGCTTCCTCCTCCTGACCCCTCTCCCGCTGTTTTCCCTCGTTCTCAGTCTTCGTTGTCCCCTCCTCCTTCTCAGACTTGGGCCTCTCGTCGCTCCCCTCGTGCTCGTCCCTCGTCCCCTGTTCCCTTCACTAACCTTCGTACTGCCTTACTTCGTTCTAGTCCGCCTCGTTCGTCTCCGTCTGTGCTTCCGTCTCCTCCTGAGTCGGCCCTCACTGCTTCGCTTTCTACTCCTGTCACTGACTACTACCGCACGTACCGTCCTGTTCTCTCTCGTGTTCTCGCCTCTCTTGTTACCCACCCTCGTGCCTCTGTGTCCTCTGTCTCCGCTCTTACTGCCGCAGTCACTGAGTTTGCCTCTACTCGCCGCCTTGACTTCGCCACCAGTCTTGTGGCTACTCCTCGTTCCAGTCCTTTGGCCGTCGGGGGTGTGTCTACCCTTGGTTGTGACGCCCTAGAGGATAGGCAGTTTGAGCTAGAGTTCCTGACAGCCGCTTCCCCTCATCTCTGTGCCATGCTGCTTGCACCTGAGGGAGACCCCGACGCCCTTGACATACCGACTCCTCGCACTACGTGGCTACGCCCTTGACGCCCTTGACATACCGACTCCTACGCCCTTGACGACGGTTGAAAACCAAGGCGCGCTACGTGGCTAGAGGTTTCAGTCAGCGCGAGGGAGTTGACTTCTTTCAGACCTTCGCGCCCACCCCGAAGATGACCACTCTTTGGGTGTTACTGCACGTAGCAGCACAGAGAGACTACGAGTTACACTCTCTCGACTTCTCCACTGCTTTTCTTCGGGGTAGCCTATACGAGGAGGTCTGGCTACGTCGTCCCTCTGCCTTCACTGGCACTTTCCCTCCTGGGACCCAGTGGAGGCTGAGGCGACCGGTCTACGGTCTCCGTCAGGCTCCTCGTGAGTGGCACGACACCCTTCGTTCTACTTGCTGACCTTGGTTTTCAACCGTCGTCTCCCGACCCGTCGCTGTTCTTTTGACGTGGCTCTACACCGTTCTTTGTTCTAGTCTACGTCAACGACCTGGTTTTTGCCACTGCTGACAGGGTTGCCTTGGCAGACGTGAAGTCCGAACTGCAGAAGAGACACACGTGCACTGACCTTGGTGAGTTGCGCCACTACCTTGGCCTGCAGATCACCAGGGACAGAGCTGCTCGCACCATTACACTCTCACAGTCACACATGGTGCAGCAGGTTCTTCAGCGGTTCGAGCTTCAGCACTCCACAGTACAGCGCACACCTCTTGCTGTTGACCACAGACTCACTGGACCCTTTCCTGACGAGCCGTTTGAGTCCAGTGGTCCCTACGCAGAGCTAGTGGGCTGCCTCATGTACCTGATGACTTGTACTCGCCCGGACCTCGCCTTCCCTCTCAGCGTCCTTGCTCGCTTTGTTGCGCCAGGGAGGCATCGCCCTGTTCACTGGACGGCAACTGTGAGGGTGGCGAAGTACCTAGCGACGACATCAGGCGTGGGGCTAGTTCTTGGAGGGCAGCAGCCTGTCGTACTTACTGGTCACTGTGACTCTTCTTACGCTGACGACGCTGAGACTCACAGGTCTACTCAGGGTTACTGTTTCAGCCTGGGTTCTGGAGCTGTTTCCTGGCGGTCCACGCGCTCCTCTTTGGTCTCGACCTCTACAGCTGAGGCTGAGATCTACGCTGGTGCCATGGCGGCACAGGAGCTGCGTTGGTTGGCGTTTTTGCTCGCTGACCAAGGTGAGCGGCCGAGCTCTGCACCGACCTTGTTCACTGACAACAAGGCGTCGATTCTCCTCTGTCGTGAGCCGCGACTGGAGAGCAGAGTGAAGCACATTCACGTGAGGTATTTCCTTCTGCGAGAGTTGCAGAGACGTGGACAGGCTCGCTTCGAGTTTGTGGAGTCCGAAGCCATACTGTAGACATCTTCACCAAGGCGCTTCCGCCTTGTGACCACCAGAGGTGTTGTGTGCAGTTAGGCCTTGTTGACACAGGTTCTAGTCGTGTATAGGCTTGAGTTTACTGTTTGCTTTGCTTGTACTCTTGCTATACACACTTGTGAACTCTTGGACTGGCCTTGTGGCCACTGTTGCTTGTGCTCAGAGTGTGTGGTGACGTTGTGATCCACCCTGAGCTTTGTCTCTTTGTAACTGGTATTGTGACCGTGGTTTTGCTAGACACCCCTCACTTAGGCTATGGGGGTGTGTCAAATGTTGTAGCCTGTAGTGAGGTTTGTCTTAGGGGGTACAGAGGTTAGGGTTTGTTATATGTACCCCAACTCACATCAATGACACCATCACTTCCTTTCTAGACAGCGGCTTGTGATGTGTCATTACCTGCACATGATTACCGGCATAAACATACCGTAGTAGCAGGTCAGTTTCCAGAAAGCAAGCACAGTTGCATGTGAGTGGCCTTTCCACCCCTCCATTCTCATTTCTTCCTCTTGACTTGACACCAGCGTTCCTTTTTGCACAAAACATGCACGTCACTTGCTATCAGTATCTCTCACCCTCATCCCACTAGCATCGCTCAATGCAGCTATCACATGTCGCGTTGTGGGGAGCGTGTCCCGCACACTAGGCAGGTGGAACGGCGCTCGTTGTGTGCTCTCAAACAACCATGGAGTCAAAACACGCTTGAACTCATCAAAGCTACTGGCTAGTAGCGCTTCCCAATCCACCTGTTGTGGTTGGTCAGGGGTGGAGTGGGGTGAAGAAGGATATGCTGAGTCAGCCACCGATTCACGTGGAGAAAGATGAAAATGAACGCTCCACCAGCAGCATTTAGAAGCGAGAAGGAGGGGATGGATGGATGGATGCAAAAATGTTGCTCGAACAGCAGCAATAGGAATGAGACCTGGGAGAGGAAGGAAGGAGGCAATAGGAACAGCAGCAAATTTAGATACGGCCGGGGCCGTGCGCGGCATCGACTTACCAGGATATCTCGAGGAACATGCGCAGTGGTTTGCATGTCAGCAGCCATGGAGAGGGCGAGGATGGACATGAGACCCACCATGGCCGACCCGCGAGACAGCGGCATCAGCTGGAACCTGCGCACCTCAGCACGGCATGTGATGTGCACACAGGTTGAGCAGACAAAGAACGGGGGAGTGGGGAAGAGGAAACGGTGAGAGTGGCCAGCAGTCAGACCAGGCAGACCCACCAGTAGTAAGCGACGGCGCTACACGTCTGGGCAGTCTGAGTATGAAAAAAGGAGAAAACAAGCGCACTAAAGGATACTCATGTGGCCGGGCTGGTGTGCGGAGGACCCACCAGTAGTAAGCAATGGCGATGATCTGATCCTGGATGCGCTGCCGGTACGCGTGTGGTGAAGTGGCCTTGCTGTGGTGGTCCAGTGCGGCCTGCATGAAGCCCTGCCACGCTGCTGTGAGCTCCGAGTCGAATGAGATCCACCGCGTTGAGTCGATTGGGGTGACAGTCTCAAAGTCCACTGCCAGGGGGCTGGAGGGAGGGGGGAATGGGGTGTGTGATGCGATAAGAACTGGTGCGGTGCGGTGGTCTAGTGTCGCCCCGCCATGAAGCCCTGCCACGCCGCTGTGAGCTCCGAATCAAACGCATTCCACCGCGCTGCATCGATGGGGGTCACCGTGTCAAAGTCCACTGCCAGAGGGTTGGGTGGATGAGGGGGTGTTGATGGGAGGTGGTGTGATGGAATGGGGAAAGGCGGTCTCCGTGAAGCCGTGCCACGCGCTGGCCCATCCATCACACCACCCCCCATCAACACCCCCCCATCCACCCAGCCCTCTGGCAGTGGATGGTCCAGGGCAGCCTCCGTGAAGCTCTGCCACGCGCTGTGAGCTCCGAGTCGAATACATTCCAGCGCGCTGAGTCCACTGTGGTGAACGAGTCAAAGTGCCGTGCCTACTGGCTGGGAGAAAAGGGGGGGAAGATGATGGGGTGGTGATGATGTGATTGGTAGAGGAGAAGAGAAAGGGAACGGGTAAGGAGAAGAGGGCAAGGGGAGGATTCGAGTACACAGATGTACGGATGGGTGCATGTGTGTTGTGTATATGTCCATGTGTCCATGTGTGCATGTGTGCATGGTGTGTGCAGGAACGACTTGACTCACCGTTTTTGTAATTTGAATTCTGTGCCGCCCAAATCTTTCCTGCACGGGAGGGTGGGCAGGGAGGGGCAATCTACGAGGATTAAGAGTCAGAACAGGTGCATGCAGCTGGCATGGGAGGCAGAACAGGTGCATGCAGCTGGCATGGGAGGCAGAACAGGTGCATGCAGCTGGCATGGGAGGCAGAACAGGTGCATGCAGCTGGCATGGGAGGCAGAACAGGTGCATGCAGCTGGCATGGGAGGTAAGGGAAAGGGCGCAGATGAGGCATGAAAGCATCTTGAGCGTGAAAGCATCTTGAGAGGAAAAGCATCTTGAGCGTGAAAGCATCTTGAGCGTGATGTGGCGTGCTGTAGCATGGCAGGCACACTAACCCTGGGAATGCCCGGCTGTAGCACGGCAGACGCACGTAGAAGTCCCGGCCAATCACGTTGAAGAGCCCCTCGTGATCCTCCGCTGCCTCCAGCTGTTAAACCAATCGCACAGAACAGCCCACCATGACCCTCATGAGGAGATGGGGAACATGGGGGCATGGGGCCAATGGGCTGTGGGGTCAATGGGCCGTGGGGGGCATGGCATGGCAAGGATGTGAAAGGGTGGCATGGTTGACATGAGAGCACACACCTGGGCGCCGAAGGTGGAGCGAGGCACATCGAAGGGCTGGTGCGAGTCCGCATCAAACGCCCTCTCTGCTTGCAACAGGCCCTGCCTTGTGACGGTCACCGCCCTGTGAGTGACACAAGGGAAGGGAGGGACGGGAGAGAAAGGGGGGAGGGAAGGGAGGGATGGAAGGCGGAAGAGTGGGGCGAGGCACGTCAAACGCCCTCTCTGACTGCAGCGGGCCCCGCCTTGTGATCCTCACCGCCCTGTGATGCTCACCGCCCTGTGATGGGGACTGAGGCAGAGAAGGAAGGGCAGGAAGGGAAGGAAGAGGGCAGTGAGAAAAGGAAGAAGGCAGGGAGGGAAGGAAGAGGGCAGGGAGGGAAGGAAGAGGGCAGGGAGGGAAGGAAGAGGGCAGGGAGGAAAGGAAGAAGGCAGGGATGCGAGGGACGGAAGGGCATGGGAGGAGAAGGGTGGCTTCTGAGTTGAATCAAGGTCACCTCGGCATCAACCGCCCTCTCTGAGTTCAGCAGTCCTTGCCTCGTGATCTTCACTACCCTGTGGTGGAAGCGGATGGATGGATAGAACAGGGCAACAATGAGGGTTTTTATTCTTGTATAAGCAGCCGGAGAATGATGATGTGAGCTGGGACGACACGGCACAAGGCAACTCGCTTGAGACACACAGGGAAGCCACTCACTTGGGATAGAGGGCGAGGTAATGAGCGGTGTCCATCACCCAGGTTAACTGAAGATGGGTGTGCCGGTGAGATAGCATAGCGCATGTCTTGCTTCCAGCACTGCTTCTACCTGAACGCCTTCCATGCGACGGGCTCCACGGTGTCTCACACCTGTCTCCACGCCACCAGTCGGACTCGAAACTCACTTGGGATAGACGGCGAGGTATCGAGCGGTGCCCATGACCCAGGTGAAGATGGGAGTGCCTGTGCGATACACCATGTCTTGCTTCCAGTGCAGCCCCGGGGCGAACGCCTTCCATGCGATGGGCTCCATGGCGTCTGACACCTGCCTCCAAGCCACCAGCACTCGAAACATGTCCCGCCAGCTCGTCACCAGGTCAGATCGGTCCAACGGACTCCGCCCACCCCCACCGCTGCTGCTGCTGCTGCTGCTGCTACCGCTGTTGTCAGTGCTGCTTTCCTCAGCGCCTTGAGCCACGCTGCTGCCACCGCCGCCGCCGCTGCTGCTGCTGCTGCTGCTGTTGACGGCTGTGGCCAGTGCGCTGCCCGACCTGCCTCTGCTGCTGCGCCTCCTCCAGCTGCTCCCGCCACAGCTCCCGCCCCCCACTCGCCCCGTCGGCCCTGCCTGCCCCACCGTGCCCATCCCCCCCGTCCCCATTCCCCCCGTCCCCATCCCCACCGTGCCCATCCCCCCCGTCGGGCCCAAAGAGCAAAGGGGCGATGCGCATGTGATCCGCGATGAGCAGCAGCGTGCGCCTCACCTGCTGCATCACGTCCAGCGCTGCCAGCCCTGCCATGCGCAGCTGTGTGTGGAGAGGGCGGGAATGGGAGACATGTGGGGGGTGAGAGAGATAGAGGCGGTGAGAGCGTGCGCCTCACCTGCTGCATCAAGTCCAGCGCTGCCAGCCCTGCCATGCGCAGCTGAGGGGTGGGAGGGAAGCATGGAGGCAGAGAAGGAGTGGAGGGAGCCTGAGTTGCGTGGTCACAGGGGCAACGCGGGGAGCACATGGTGCTGCTGCTGCAGGCGGTGCATGCAGGGAGATTGGGCTTGACAACACACTATGCCACTGCTTATCACACACGTGCGCTTTGAGTCGACTCAGAAGTCACCTCACAATCAGTATCATTCTGACTGTGCCACGCCTGTGCCATGCCACACGGACCTGCCGTGCCATGCCATGCCGTGCAGTGCCATGCCATGCCATGCCATGCCGTGCCGTGCCATGCCATGCCATGCCATGCCATGCCATGCCATGCCATGCCATGCCATGCCGTGCCGTGCCATGCCATGCCATGCCATGCCGTGCCGTGCCATGCCATGCCATGCCATGCCATACCATGCCATGCCATGCACCTGCTGGGTGTTATGCAACATGCCATCGGTGTCGTAGTGAGTGCGAGCACCAATCACGTCCGCCGCTTCCACCAGCTGCACTGCCGCCCCTGACAGGCGCGGCAGGCGCTGCCACGTGGCAGCTTGCAACTGGTGCTCGGGGATCTCCAGCGGGACAAAGCCCGGCAGCTCCTCCGGCCGGCCCCCCGTCGCCCACTTGTCCTGGCGGCCGTGGGGGGGGAAGAAGGGGGAGGTGGGGGTGCAGAAGGGGTGAGAGAAGAGGGGGAAGGGAGAGGTGGGGAGGAGAGGGGAAGAGCAGGGAGGAGTGGGGATGATTCGGGGAATTGGGCTATTGAAATGAAGCCCGTGGGAAAACGGTAAGCTTGATAGCGGAGGTAAACACTTGCCCGTCAAGCTTGACACAAGGGCAAGCCTTCCATTCCACCACCCCCATCACGCGCCCCTGACGCCTTACCCACCCTTCTCCCTCTCTCACCCTTCTCTCCCTCTCCCGCTCACACTGTTCTCTCGCCCTGCCCTGCTCACCCGCCACTCCTCATCAAGGTCATCGTCAATGCGGAAGGCAGAGAAGGGCTGGGCGAGGGGCGGCACGGTGTAGGCCAGCAGGTGGCGCTGAAAGGCCTCGGTGTTCTCTCCCTCTCACTCTGTCTTTTCTCTCACACGTGCCCTATGTCTCTCACCCCCCCCTCTCACCCGCCACTCTCACCCCCCACGCTCACCCGCCACTCCTCATCAAGGTCGTCATCAATGCGGAAGGCAGAGAAGGGCAGGTCGAGGCGCGACACGGTGTAGGCGAGCAGGTGGCGCTGGAAGAAGGTCCTGTGGCGGTATGACGTCTGCTCGTCCGGTTGCACGGGTGAGGAGAGCAGCTCGTCGTACAGCCGCATCTGGTGGGGGTGGGGAGGCACGGGGCAGAAGGGTAGTGCATGGGAGGGCAGAAGGGGAGTGCATGGGATGACACAGTGAAGGCGGGCAGGTGGCGCTGGAAGAAGGTGCTCCTGTGGCGGTGTGAGGCCTGCTCGTTGGTCTGGACGGGTGTTGTGATGACAGCAGCTTGTCGTACAGACAGACGCATCTGGTGGGGTGGGTGTCAGGGAGGGGAGTCGAGCAATTAGCAGACAGTGAGTGAATGGCATGTTGTCGTATGGTATAGTATCGCAGGGCATGGCATGGCATGGCAGGGCATGGCATGGCATGGCAGGGCAGGGCATGACGTGACGTGGCGTGACATTGCTGCGTGTGGGGGAGAGGAGAGGGAGGTCGGATGACTCACAGCAGCAGCATGCTCGCCCAGTACGTGCAGGCTGGAGGCCTCAGCGTGCAGGCTGGAGGCCTCAGCGTGCAGGCTGGAGGCCCTAGCGTGCATAACCTCTCCAGGTCACCCGGTCAGGGGGGTGTGCACGTGCATGCAGGTGAGAGCACGGCACGGCATGGTGTTGCTGGTGAATGCAAGGGACAGGGAGGGGCGTCACATGTGACTCACAGCAGCAGCATGGTCGCCCAGCACGTGCAGGCTGGAGGCCTTGGCGTGCATGATCTCCAGGTCGCCTGGGAAAGCCTGCAGCCCCGCGTCTGCCATGCGAATGACTCCCCTGGCGAGGCCAGTCGCACATGCACATGCACACATCACATGCATACATCACATGCACACATCACATGCACACATCACATGCACACGTCACATGCACACGTCACACGCACACATCACATGCACACGTCACACCACATACATAACACCGCATACGTGGGCCAGAGCAGAGGAGACGAGACAAGGTGTGGGGGGGGAGAGGGAGAGGGAGGGAAAACATACGGAGCATTTCAAAGGTGGAATTTGAGATGAGATGATGTGGGCGGACGGGTGGAGGGTTGGAGAGTTGGGGGGGGGGAGGGTGGAGGGGTGGAGGGGTGGTGGGGTGGAGGGGTGGAGGGGTGGTGGGGTGGAGAGGTGGAGGGGTGGGTGGTGGGTGGTGGGTGGTGGGTGGTGGGTGGTGGGTGGTGGGTTCTCACCAGTGATCTCCCAGCAGTCGCTTCTGCAGCACCAGGTTGTGATGCGTCTCTAGTATCCTGCCATGGGAAGTGGATGAGCAGTGAGAGTGAGAAAGAGTGAGTACGCCAATATAAGTGAGTGCAACTGGAGGGAGGGCGAGCATGTGCGAGGGAGGGAAGGAAGGCAGAAGGATGGACTGACGGAGCACCAGAGACAAACAGACTCTGAAAGAGAGGGTCCGGGAGGGAAGGAAGAGAGGCAGAGAGGCGGGGAGGCAGCGAGGGAGGCCGTGCGGATCAGATCAGGTCAGGGCAGAGAAGCAACGAGCAGAGAAGAGCAGAGCAGAGAACGGACTGTGCGAGCTGGCTGGAGTGAGAGCAGGAATTCCCTCTCAGCCTGGTCCGTGTTGACTTCTGAGTCGACTCAAGAGTCAAGCAGAGCACATACTGTCCGAGCTGGAGCGAGAGCAGAAGGTCCCTCTCAGCCTCATCCGTCTCCCCCAGCAGGCGGTGCAGGCGCCCCTTCTCCTTGCGCACATCCGCATCCCCTGGCAGCAGCTCCACCGCCCGCGCCAGGTACGGCTGTGCTGCTCTGAACTGGTTCGACCGCACCAATGCAAATCCCTGGGGGGGGGAACAGGGAAAAGTGGGGAAAGAGGGGGAAGAGTGGGGGAGTAGGGAGGAGGGAGAAGTCGGGTATGGGGGGAGGGGATGGGGGGGAAGGGGCATGGCTGTAGCGGGGAGGGAGTAGGGAGGGCGGGTGGGAGAAGCGGTGGTGAGAGGCAGAGGAGGAGAAGGCGTGGGTGTAGCGGAAGAATGGCTGGAGTGGAGTGGGATGACCTTGCCTGCCAGTCCACCTGGCCTGGCAGTCCACCTGGCCTGGCAGTCCACCTGGCCTGGCAGCCCACCTGGGCTGCGCTGGGCTGGGGTGCTTGTCTCGAGTCTCACCACGGCTCGGTTGAGGTCGGCGTCGTTGGGCAGCATGTGCAGCGCTGGCAGCAGGTCTTTGAGGGCGTCCTTGAAGCGGAAGCAGTTGAACGCGCTCAGCCCTGCACGAGGGGGTGAAGGGGAGAGGGGAGAGGGAAGGCGGAGGGGAAGGGGGAAGTTGGGGGGGAAATGGGAAGGAGGAAAGGGGGGCAGCAGGTCATTTAGAGTGCTTGAAGCGGTAACAGTTAAAAGCTCTCAGCCCTGCTCCAGAGTTGGGGAGGAATTAGGGGTAATCCCTAGAGGATCGGGGCCAATCCGAAGGCAATCTCCAATTGGTGGGTTGGAGATTGCTTGGAGATCACATTTGGGTTTGGTTGGGATGTGGCTGCGCACCCAACCAAGCACAAAGTGCAAACTACACTGCGCTAAGATATGAAAGTACAAAAACAAAAGTTGAAATTGAGGTCTAGCTCTAACACATCCCACCGCACCACACCACACTACACCACACCTGAAAGCACTGCGCAACTGTTCACCGTGCCTCTCCTCCCCTCTCCCACGCACCTCGCCGTTTGAGCGCCTCTGCACTCCCTGTTTGCAGCAGCAGGGCGCGGCTGAATGCCTCGTGCGCCCTCCCATGCTGCCCTGTGAGTCCACTCAGAACTCACCCCGTGCGCCATCCCTGCCCTCTCCTTTCCCATCCCACGCACCTCGTCGTTTGAGCGCCTCCACATTCCCCGGTTGCAGCAGCAGGGCGCAGCTGAACGCCTCGTGCGCCCTCTCGTGCTGCCCCAGCGCCTTGCGCTCCACCCCCACCTGCATCCACAGCTCTGCACTGTCGGGATTGGCGCTCACTGCCTGCGGGGAAGGAAAGGAGAGGCCAGAGAAGCACATTTTCTGATAAGATGTGGAATGCCTGAGCATTCACCTGCATCCACAGCTCCGCACTGTCGGGATTGGCGCTTGCTGCCTGCGGTGCGGGGAAGGAAAGGAGAGGCCAGCGAGCCACGCGGTGAGATTCTTGAATCGGCCGACTCGAAACACCTCTCCATCCTCAGCCCTGCACTGTTCGGGTTGGCGCTCACTGCCTGTCTGGGAGGAGAGGCAAGAGGAGCACGTTTTGTGATAAGATGTGGGTTGCTTGGGCAATCACCTCCTTCCACAGCTCTGCACTGCCAGGGTTGGCCCTCACTGCCTGTATGGGAGGAGGGGCAGGGAGCGCGCATGCAGAGGCTTAGGGGGAGAGCGCGTCACAGAACACACTTTGCTGTGGCGCTGCAGAGATTTTAACCCATGCTGCGCGTGTTTATAATAAACTGTTTTTGAGACGTCCCAAAAACAGCCGCGCGCTGCTGGGGTTGGCGGTCACTGCCTGTGGGGGAGTGAGGGAGGGCGCGCGCAGAGAGAGGCTGAAAGGGCCTGACATGAAGGTACGGTGTGTGTGACAAGGGGGTGACAATACAGAGGGTGCGCAAGAAGCAATGGAGATGTGACAGTAACGAAAGGAAGGACCTGGCTTGTCACGCCCAACATGTCAAGCCGAACATGCCACGCCTAACATTTAAAGCCCGATCGTCATGCGGTGCGGTGCGAACAATGCTATGCCGGTCTGCCCCACATGATGCGGCGCCCGGGGGCTTGGGCTCACCTGGCGCCATGGGCTTGGGCTCACCTGCTCGAAGTCCGCTACAGCCGACTGGTGCATGTGTAGCAGCGACTTGGCCACGCCACGCCCGTGCAGCACTCGCTCGTACAGCCGTCGCAATAGCCGCTCCGCCTGTGGGGCAGCGCAGGGCGGTTGGGAGCAGCAGAGGAAGGAGGCTTCAAGGGATCTTGTTTCATCTCGCCGCGCACCTCGTTACATCTCGCCGCGCACCTCATTACATCCCGCCTCGCACCTACATCTAGCCGCTCACCTCGTTTCATCTCGCCTCGCACCTCGTTACATCTCGCCGCGCACCTCGTTACATCTCGCCGCGCACCTCGTTACATCTCGCCGCGCACCTCGTCACATCTCGCCGTGCACCTCGTTACATCTCGCCGTACACCTCGTTACATCTCGCCGCTCACCTCGTCACATCTCGCCGCTCACCTCGTTACATCTCGCCGCGCACCTCGTTACATCTCGCCTCGCACCTCGTTACATCTCGCCGCTCACCTCGTTACATCTCGCCGCGCACCTCGTCACATCTCGCCGTGCACCTCGTTTCATCTCGCCGTGCACCTCGTTACATCTCGCCGCGCACCTCATTACATCCCGCCTCGCACCTACATCTCGCCGCTCACCTCGTTTTATCTCGCCTCGCACCTCGTTACATCTCGCCGCGCACCTCGTTACATCTCGCCGCGCACCTCGTTACATCTCGCCGCGCACCTCGTCACATCTCGCCGTGCACCTCGTTACATCTCGCCGCGCACCTCATCACATCCCGCCGTGCACCTCGTTACATCTCGCCGTGCACCTCGTTACATCTCGCCGCTCACCTCGTCACATCTCGCCGCTCACCTCGTTACATCTCGCCGCGCACCTCGTTACATCTCGCCTCGCACCTCGTTACATCTCGCCGCTCACCTCGTTACATCTCGCCGCGCACCTCGTCACATCTCGCCGTGCACCTCGTTTCATCTCGCCGTGCACCTCGTTACATCTCGCCGCGCACCTCATTACATCCCGCCTCGCACCTACATCTCGCCGCTCACCTCGTTCCATCTCGCCTCGCACCTCGTTACATCTCGCCGCGCACCTCGTTACATCTCGCCACGCACCTCGTTACATCTCGCCGCGCACCTCGTCACATCTCGCCGTGCACCTCGTTACATCTCGCCGCGCACCTCATTACATCCCGCCGCTCACCTCGTTACATCTCGCGGCTCACCTCGTTACATCTCGCCGCGCACCTCGTTACATCTCGCCTCGCACCTCGTTACATCTCGCCGCTCACCTCGTTACATCTCGCCTCGCACCTCGTTACATCTCGCCGCTCACCTCGTCGTATGTGGCGACGGCCTCTAAGAGCCGGTCGCCTTTCAGCTGGGCGCGTCCCTCCGCAATTAAAGCCATCATTTGCTCGCTCACGCGCCGCGCCACCTCCGCCTCGCTGCTTCCGCCGCCGCCGCCGCCCCCGCCGCCGCCGCCGTCGCCGCCGCTGCTGCTGTCGGGGCTTCCGCTGTTGCTGGTGGAGCTGTTATCGTCATCTACAAGCCGCCAGCCGTTGACGGCAGCATTAATTCGCGCGTCCCGCTCACGAGAACCGGCGCGACTCGGCGCACACGTCTCCTCATTTCCCAGGCAAGAACCACCCAACGGCGTTTCTGCCGCAACTTCCGCCACAACTGGCGCTGCAGGATGTAACGCCACGTTTGCCGCCGGATCCAACGCAGGAACGCTAACGCCGGCGCATTCGAACGTGCCAATGAGGACAACCATTGCCGCCCAAGCTATTGAACTCTTGCTCAACGACCGAGTCCGGCGGGCATCCAACGGAAACGCCATTTTTCCGGCCGAAACAAAGGGCTTTAACTCCGGCTCAGATGCTCGTCGCGCGCATCCGCGATACAAGCGAGGCGACTCGAACGATACTATCGTATTTCCAGAGAATTAAGAACCAGCAGTTGACCAACGAACCACAAAGCAACGAAGAATGGTAAGAAGAGTGAGGAATCTTCTCGACGCAGCTCTCGAACTTCTACTCGATCGACGCGAGGGAGGAAAGGTATACCTTGAGCGAATACCCGTGCCGAGGCTGTTTCGTACAGATAGAGCCGACATAACTTGAGAATGCCGTATGGGGGGTAGGTCATTTGTGTGGTCTCCTCCACCCCAGGAGGTCTGTCTCCCGGGGCCACCGTCGACCGCCATGCTTCTGCAATGGGAGTGACTGCAGCCGATTTCGTTGTTTTTAGGACAACTAGTAGGCGTAAGCGGTGAAGAACACATTGTGCGTGTCAGGAACGGTCACCCTCTTGCCTGAGAATGCGATCTGAGAAGGGCAGTAGGTGAGGGACCGATGATGATGTGATGTGTGAGTGACTTGTCGGCGGCAACCTCCCTGACGAGCCTCCAAATTTCCCCATCAGTGCCTGCCTGGACCTGGAGTGTTGCGCTGCTGCTTTCCATAATCTTCCCGTGGGTTCGTCAACGTGAGAATGACTATGTGGAACAAGGCGGGATTAGCTGGTGGTGACATAGGATCGTCTCGAAGTTGTCGCCTCGTCTCCTCGCAGGACAACTGTACACGCCTTCGAGCTGGCTGGCATTGCTTGCCTGGCCTTGCGCGTTCCAGCATGGGTTGGTGTCGTCGTTCGCCGACACCTCTGCTGCTACGACGTGCGGACTTGTCGTCACTCTCGGCAAGCTCAAAGTGGGCATCCTTGATAGTGGTACGGAGATCCATTTATTTGGACTTGAGAACAATCGAGAGTACGGTCAATATTATATATATGAGGTTGTTTAGTTCGTATTTTGTTAAATTGTTTTGACATGGTTGAAGAATGTCACAAAACTTTTTTATTCAGGTTTTACAGCATATAAATAAGGGCGTGTTGGCACAGAACTTTGGCCACCATCCGTCGGGCCGTTTTGGCGAGATTACCCATTTCAACCCCTAAGTACCAAGCTGTCTCGTACCCGAACCCATAAGTACCCTATGGCCGAAAATCCGGCCATTAGCAAATTTCGGATGCGTGCGGCTATTTAACACGCCCTGAGTCTAATGCTTGTGTTGAACGATCCCTTTTAGCGAGAGTGAGTGAGCCAGACCAAGAGTGAAAAAAAGGAGGGCAAAGAGAGGGCGAGGGCGGGCGGGCGGGCGGGCCGGCGGGCTTGGGAAGGTAGGCAGAGAGGAAGAGAGGCGGGAAGGCAGCCGGGGTAGCATGGAGTTAAGCACAACTTCATATATACAGTCATATTGAAGAATCTCAAACAACGAGCACTCACTGCCCCTGACTATTTGTCCCTGGTGCGTAATGATAACGAGAAGGTGGGGACACATAACAGATGGCACATGGCACATGCAGGCCTACATGCGAGGAGTTGCGCATGCATTGGGGTGTGGGTTGGAGGGAAGGGAGATGGGTGAAAGGGGGGATGAATAAAAAAGGATGGGTGGAAGTGGGGATGAATGGGGGGGGATGGTGAAAGGGTGTCAAATGTTGTAGCCTGTATTGAGGGTTGTCTTAGAGGGTACAAATATTATGGTTTGCTGTGCGTACCCCAACCCACATACAACACTTTCATTCTTGACATGGTATCACCTAGGTTAGGATCCTGTGGGATCCCGCTCCTCCCGTCCACGTTTGTTCCGCCCGAGCCTGCCTCGCCCTGTCGTTCTAGTCGCACCCGTCTTGCCCGAGCCTAGAGCCGGCCCGATCCCGCCTCGCTCGTTCGTTAGCACCCACTGTGCCGATACGCCTTCCGCGTAGCGTAGCCCCCACCCCCCCCTTGCCCGTCGAGTCGCGCCCTCCCCCGCTGCCCGTCGCGTCACGCCTTCCCTCCTGCCCGTCGAGCCGCGCCCTTCCCCGCTGCCTGTCGCGTCGCGCCCTCCCCCGCTGCCCGTCGCGTCGCGCCCTCCCCCACTGCCCGTCGCGTCGCGCCCTCCCCCCGCTGCCCGTCGCGTCGCGCCGCGGCTGCCCTACGCGCCCGCCCACGCGTCTGCCTTCCGCGCTCGCCGCGGCTGCCCTACCCGCCCGCCCGCGCGTCTCTACGCCTGCTTGCCCACCGCGCCCGCGCCCCGTGCCTCCCTTTGTCCCTGCGCGCCGCGCTGGCCGCCGCGCCTGCCCGTTTCGCCCGCCGCCGCGCCTGCTAGTTAGGCCCGCCGCGGGCCCTCCCTTCGCACTGCTGCGCTTACCCGTTCAGTCCGCCGCGGGACCGCCCCTTGCGCCCGCCGCGCCTGCGTTTTGCGCCCGCCACGGACCTGCCCTCACCGCCCACCGTCCCTAATAGTGCCGCCTGCTGCTCCTGTCTTTGCGCCCTGCCAAACTTGTCCCTTCTGCTTTCGCTATGGCGACCCCTAGGGTCCTTCGCTTTGACGCTGACGGTAGACCGCTCAAGTTT